TATCAGTCAAATCTAATGCATAAATCTAATGTCTAAATCTCACTTTAGAAGATGGAAAGCTTTTAATTTATACCAGTCTGGAGAGGGTTCGGCTCTGTCAGGTTGACTTGATTATGACCCACAACTACTGCTTTTAAAACCAGTAAGTATGCTGCTTCTACGACACCAATGGGTTACAGGATTCGTGATCGTGAATGTAACGCAGCTTTCTAATTTCCAAATCCGAATCGCCATCCATTACAGCACACGTATATCGTACATCCAATCTTACAGCTCCTGATATTACAAAACGGTCACTCATCTAGATACTTACCAGACTCGAAGGTAATCGGAAGAGATTCGGTGTTTCAACCGTATATGGCCGCCAGAAATTTAAGCTTCAAACAAACATATTTTTCCTCCGCTGAAAAAAAAAATAGCTCTTGGAAAGCAAATATTAAAATAAAATTGAGAAATTTCAAATGATAATAAAATCCTTTTCCATATTGCATTCCGAGTTGATGTCAAATTCCTTAAGGAAAGTCTTTAAAAAATGTCAGGAAAGATTAGGTTTCGTGATCTAAACCTTGGCAATAGTTGATAGCCGGTAGTAGAGCAGTAAATAATATTTTAAAACATGGAGAAGGATCTTGAAAATTTTTTAAAAGGATTAATGCCCATAGAAAAGAACATCAAAAGATCACCCTTATAGTAAGGGGTCTTATCCGCAGGATATAATCTCTTTTATGTAAGGCTTATCTCTCCTGCTCAGATTTGCTCCCAACATTGTGAAATGCTGCCAAGAGAAATAATAACAATAATAATAATAAATGTCCAGAAACGATTGATCATCTTGTGTGATAAATATCCAGAAACGATTGATCATCTTTTATCAGGTTGCATGATATTGGCACCCACTGACAGAGTGGGCCAATATCTGCATTGGAAAATCTGCAACTTCTACGGGAAGGAAACTGAAAGGAAATGGTATGAACACCACCCAGACCCAGTTACGAGAGATAGGACCTGTCACAATTCTATGGGACTACACAATACACATTGACAGAACAATCAAAGCCACCGTCCAGATATTGTTATTAAAGACCACAAACAAAACAAGTGCCTCCTTATTGATATGGCTGTCCCTGCTGACTGCAATGTATCTTTAAAGATATTCAAAAAGCTGTCAAAATACAAGGACCTTGAAATAGAAATCTCAAAAATGTGGCATATGGGAACATCAACAATCACTGTTGTAGTTGGAGCCCTAGGACTGGTTGGAAAAGATTCCAGTAGACTATTTGAAGGGATTACTGGAAGTCCATGCCTCAAGGAGATACAAAAAATTGTTCTGACAAGTACAGCCCACACTTTACGAAGGGCTTTATCTATGTAATTATTTTTTTATTTTTTTGTCAACGGAAAGTGTCTTGATGCCATCTCTAAACTTAGGTCCCTGGGCGGGACCCCGAAAGAAATGTGTAAACGCCAGAAATCAAAGAAAATAATAATAATAATAATAATAATAATAATAATAATAATAATAATAAAGAAATAAATAAAATAGTAAAGAAACTTCATTTAGAAATAATGAAAGTCTACAAAAGAAATCAGAAAATTTATTCAGGAATAAAGGAAACCAACAAGTTCAAAAGAAATTTCAAATGGATCGAAAAAGTGCAAGTAAACAATAATAGAGTTATTCCAGTTGCAAAGAAATTAAAAGTAAATGCAACTTGCCAAATGCAGAAACAATGGCAACATAAATCTCTTCCTGTTTAATACTCTGCTCGTACCAAACTGGCTGTTGTATACAAACCCCATACACATCAGTGGTTACGTAGGGCAGGGTTAAAAGCTGAAACCCAAAATTGTATAGTTCCTACTGCACAGGTCTAATGCTTCCTAACTAAATTATCAAACACTCATACTTAAAAAAAAAATATGTCGAACCGAATTGTAGATTCTGTGATAAATATTCAGAAATATTTGATCATCTTCTATCAGGTTGCACAGTGATTAGAATTAATTGTTCTCTCTAAGGGGAGATAAGAGGTTGAACCATTGCTTTCCCAAGGGTATTTGCGCTTAAGTGAATTTTATGAACCCAACTGGTATTTGAACTCGGCCCACCGATCAACATTAATCCATGACACCTGCCGCACATCCACGCTTACAGCACCAGGTATTCCCAAACGGTCACCGATCTACGCGATGTTTCAACGTAATGTCCTCGTAAACCCAGCAAACACGAGAATAACAGTCCGAATATAAATATTGTAAATATTTTTATTTAATTTTTGCATATTGTTTGCTATTTTGATTTTCAAATTTTACTTTAATACATTATAATTATAAGCTTTATATTTCTCATTTCCTTAGTTTAAGTCATGTTTCTTCAGGACGAAGGTGAACATGGTCGCCCGATCTTACTTCTTTTTCCAACATCTTGGAATTGTCATGCCTTCTAGGGAAATACATGGAGTGGTTTCACCTTGATTTTACGACGGTTTTTAATCCGGAGGATTAGACATCTTGAGAAACAGAGAGACTGAAAGAGATACACAGAGACAGAGAGTTAGAAAGAGATATACAATTCATATCTTTTTGTGAAAGTCAACGCACAACCTTAGATCGGAATATATATATATATATATATATATATATATATATATATAGCCAGGTAAACTGAGGACAATTGGAGTATAATTTCACTGTAAGTAACAATTAATTTAAAAGGGGGCTCAATATAGTGTAGAGCTAAATATATTTTATTTTAAAAGATGTTAAAATCACTACATAATTACGTTTCAACACTACAAATGTATCTCCTCAGGCGATGCTGAACTAATGACGAGTGAAAGATTAATTTACTTTCAAATGCAGAAAAAATTTAAAAAATAAGTTCGCGATATTTGCTGCAAAAAACCATAGAAAGTGACCTACGCTAAATTCAAATTTACCGGGAAAACTTTTTTAATATAGCTCATGCCACGAATATAAAACCTAGGCAATTTCTTTATGGTCAGATCCAGATGGTTATATTATTTCGTAAGATGTATCGAAGTCTGACCCTCAAATTTTCTAAGAAGTAACAAGCGAAATAGACAGGGGAGGTAATTTAACATAATGCTAACAATTTATATGCTCGTTCTACTTCTTACATAACATTTACTAGATGATAACTAAATGGCACCCTTAAAGCAAATGGTAAATAACTTAACAGTTCGTAAATAAGATAAAAAATACAGAGCTACTTTGTCAAATTAATATGCAACCGTTAAATTAAGAGCATCCATATAAGATGTTAATAATGCCAACTAATCAATGTCGATATTAATAATACTAACTAAACACCATCACATCCATATAAGATGTTAATAAGACTAGCCAAATATCAATACAAAACAATATTAAGTCAAAATTTATCATACAAAGAGAATAGTAATCCACACAAGGTGCACAACAATTCATTTACTAATTATTACTATTAGAAAAATTATTATCAAATTCAAAGTTTTTAAGGTAAAAGTTTGTAAGGTAAAAGTTTGTTCATATGCCTACAATGCAGATTCAATTTACTTATTTGGTTTGATAAGGAGTTTTATCAGAAAATCTGATAATATCAAATTTTTCATGCAAGCATAGAAAACATTTAAAGTTACACATGTTTTTGTCAAAAGAAATTTCCATTAGGAGTTTTATAAGTTTCTTTTAAATTAAAAAATACTTAGAAAGAGATGTAATATTTTTCTAAGTGCTATTGGTGAAGGATAAGATATATTGATATCAACTAGTCTTAAAAGGATTCTTAGTACTATCAATATAAATTTTTCCAACAGTCAGATACTTTATTGTAGAAATAGTACTTAGATAAACAAGAGAGGTGTTTAATATTGGTTTTGTAATGGGCATCCATTCAAGCAACTAGTAGTCGTTTTTGAGATCAGCCGTCAATTTGAACTTATCGAAATAATCAAACTTACCATCGTGAGAGGAGTAAATGATTTTATCATCACCCTGGAGAGAAAGTTGACTGCCAATGGTCTAGAAGATTAGTCCTTCAGGATAAGTTTCATTTCTTGATCTGAGAAGAAAGACTGAATCATTTAAAAAATTCGCCCTGAGACATTATAAATTTTAAAATTCTGAGGAATACCAGATTCTGTCGAATGTTTCGAGATGACCGATGCAACAATGCGATATATATATATACATATATATATATATATGTTATTGTCATCCACAGACAGACTGTTTTGCTGTATCACAGCTCATTAGTGTGGCTAGGTTGCCTCTACCTATGATTGAAACCAGACTGAATTGGCGTCAGTCGGAGATTCTAACATTAATGCGTGGCACACAGCAGGGATGAAGGTCAATTGAAGCGTATTTATTTTTAGATAAACACACATTGACTAAGAGAAGTCAATTCGATTTAAGGAAGACGTTGGCAAGAATGAAAATGAGTTTTATATTATTATAATATCGACAATCAGTGATTTATATTCCTAGCCGAAACAAGGATTAAATGTGAAATAAAAAAAACGTTATTCTACTGCGCATAAGTACACATGGAGACATACATTTGTACACACACACACACACACACATATATATATATATATATATGCAAAATAAAAAACATGCATATGTGTGCAAACACATACACAAGAACACACACGAATAAATTTAATACATTCTGAAAATAATCTTACTGATTTAGAATTCATGCAATTTAACAAGAACATGGAACGTTTTTCCACCCGAACATTCTAAATCGTTTTTCTATTAATCTTAGCTCATTTTCTTTCACATATATCATTTAAATTAGCGATTCCTGACAAATAACAGCTGTAAATATTTGTTGGACGGAAGCTGATGAGTTATATTCTTTATTGATATCTTCTTTATTTTGAAGCCGCCTGATAAAATGCAGTTTTAAAATGAATCTCTTCGAAGAAGCCATTTAAAACATACTTGAAGCAGAAGTATTTGATTGTTTCATTTACTTCTGGGGGATGGAGTTTTTCTTGAGTTTTCAACTCATCGAAGTACGAGAATTTAAAGACATATATGCACAAGAGAATATTACGGATAACATTTGTTTTCTCATATGTTAAATTAAGGTGGACAGTCAAAAGTTATTTGCTTTTGCTCGAGAACATTTGGACGTAATGTAATGATTCACAAGCTTGCCTCACTCTATTACTTATGACTGAATGGTGAGTTCGATATCTAAACTATACTTAGTAAATCGCTACAATTTGCACAGACATATATTTCAGTATTACTGAAATGAATGATGTGTTAAATTTTATTCCAGTTTTTGCGTTATATACAGCGCCATCCATCCATAACACTAATAATTTTTAAAGTTTGAAGCCATGTGATGATCAGATACAAAAGGCGGTATATGCTAAGCTGTTTAATACATCTAAATGTAAATACCAGGAATTATAGCTGATATTCTAAACACTTGGCATATACTCATATTTTGATTAAATATCTTCAATGAACAACAGAAACAAAGAAATTAGTCTTGCCTGTCCAAAACTTTGGGAAGGGACTCTATATCCCACTAAGCTAATATTTATCTATCTGTCTGTATGCTAGCCAGTCTCTCTATATCTATCTCTCAGTCTACACGAGTTAGTTCACGTCTATCTATCTGTTAGGCAGTCTCGTCATATCTATCTATCTATCTATCTATCTATCTATCTATCTATCACGATATGCCTATCTATTTTGCAGTCAGTCTCTCCATATCTATCTATCTATCTATCTATCTATCTATCTATCTATCTATCTATCTATCCTTCTCAATCTGCTCATATCTGTTTCATATCTTTCTACGTCAATCTTCTCATATCCATCGATTTATGTATCTCAATCTGCTCATATCTATCTATCTCAGTCTGCTCACATCTATCTATCTATCTATCTATCTATCTATCTATCTATCTATCTATCTATCTATCTCAACCTGCTCATATCTATCTCATTCTGCTCATGTCTATCGAACTATCTATCTCAATCTGCTCATTTCTATTGATTTATGTATCTCAATCTGCTCATATCTATCTATCTATTTATCTATCTATCTATCTATCTATAACGATCTATCTATTTATCTATCTATCTATCTATCTATAACGATATACCTATCTATTTGTCAGTCAGTCTCTCCATATCTATCTATCTATCTATCTATCTATCTATCTATCTATCACGCTATACCTATCTATTTGTCAGTCAGTCTCTCCATATCTATCTATCTATCTATCTATCTATCTATCTATCTATCACGATATACCTATCTATTTGTCAGTCAATCCCTCCATATCTATCTATCTATCTATCTATCTATCTATCTATCTATCTTGTTTGACCAAAACCACGTGACTTACAGACCCATCACGCTGAAACATCGGTTCCGTGCGATTAAGATGATTTTTTTTATGACATGTTCATTTTCCGGCATCAGAAAAGATCGATTCTATTCACTACTGTCTAAAATGTTTCTAAATCTTGATGTACGTATTATAATTCTGTACAATCACCAGAGTTAAGCAACGTCGAATCTGGTCAGTACCTAGATTGGTGACCGATAGGTAATACCCGGCGTTGTAAGCTTGGAAGTGAGTGTGGTGTCATGGATGATGACTGGGAATTGTTAACCGAAGAGACGAGTTCCAATTCCCATTGGATTCCTTATATTGAATTATGAGCAAATATCCTTGGGAAAGGTATGGATCCACCTCATCTCCCCAGTTATGGGTTAATTAGGAACACTTGTAAGATTAAATCATTATTATCTGTAAAAAAAAGGTCTTACAATAAAAAAAAATATCTGGCTTTAAATAAACTGCAAATGTTTGATAAGCCTAAGAAAATTTTAGCTTCTAATTAAAACTTAGTTTCTTTAGTTTTCATCGGGTTTTATTGATGTCCGGCTTTAGTTTCAGTAAGTGAATTCGGCGAGTTGAGGTCGAACGTGGATTGTGTCTGCTGCGTTCATTTTCGCCCTAATGTCTTACATAAAGACATTTGTTCATTTTTCCCCATTACGGGTGATGGAATAAAGAAACATGTCGGCTTTTTTTTTTGTTTTGTTTTTTATGTATATGTTGTATGATTTCTGTATATATGTAATGGAAGGCAACATTACTCTATGAATGAAGCAAAAATGAATACTGAGCTGTTACGTGACGTCTTTCCTTCTTTACGGCAGTAAATGTTGGACGATTTCCTTAAAGATGAAGAAGAGACTCGAGGAGACGGAGATGTGGTTCCACAGATTAATTTTAAGGATATCATGGACCTAGCCTTTGAGAAAGGTTGAAGTTTTAGAGAGGATGCAAACAATGAGGAGGCTTACACTTAACATCAAGTACAAGCAGTTCTTGGGACACATAATGAGGAAAGAGGGCCTGGAGAATCTGATACTTACGGATCGAATAGAGTAAAATTTAGACAAGGGGAAATAACCTGTGACATACCTGGCGGGTTTTATCAAGCGGATGACAAAACGTGGTCTGGGGGTAGAAGCAGAGGGAACGACATGTTGAGAGCTGCAAGCGACAGAGGGAGGTGGAAAGCCATGATTGCTTACGTTCTGAAAGACATGGGACATAAAAAGTAAGAAAGAATGTCATAAAGTAGTCGAAATTTTATGATCATGATACGAGCATAAGTTTTATAGAATTAAAACACTATCTATTTAGAAAACTCACAGAATTATCCCTATACTTCTGATTAAAAAAATACCATTATATTATACAAATTAACCGTCGAATTTACATCGTCAATCCTAGATAATCGAATATGATAGTTGCTATGGGATCTTACCCATAATAATAATAATGGACTATTCCATAATAATAAATACTGCGCCTCAGGAGTAGTCAAGTCTTTCGGTCAGTCAGTCGACTGGCTGATCGGTTGAACTCTCTGCCTTCGGGCGGGGAGGAACCCGAAGGAGGCTACGCCGAAGGGCGGAGTCTTTTTCGGGGAGGTAAACCGACCCTGAACCCGTTTATACGGTTTCAATCGGCATATTTTTGGCCGAGCCCACGGCTCGGAAATCCCACGTTAAAAAGGCCTTCTGCCACATGACGCCCTCTTGGGAGGGGGACTGAATATCATTCGCGTCAGTAGTTCAAGTCGAGTCAAGAGTCGAGTCAGAGGCTGTCCGAAACAGAGTCGCGTTCAGATAATTACTGCAAGACATTGGAATAGTGATACTGGTTGAGACTGCATTATTCTCTCTACTAAACCTGATTGTTCATACTAACACTTCTACTTCTCTGTATATATTCCTGTTTGTAATATATCTGTGTTATTCCATACCTGTGTTCGAGTTCTTCTTTATTGGTTCTACCTTGGACTATCACCGTGGTACAAGGAACCGGACCATAACAAAAGTGAAGACAATATAGCTATCGAACAGGCATTCACTCTTTCATATGAAAGAACTAAAGTCGTTACGTTTCGGCTCGAGAGTTTCTTACTGCAAGCCGAAATACAATCAATCATTAAAAAAAATTTACATTGCGCGTTAAGGCATTTTTCGTGTATATATCTGGTAGCTTATGTTGTATATCCACATTGTTGATACCCCTGCTGATGTACGAACGCCTCAATATACACCTAGGTGTTACTGCTAACGGTTACATACCAAACAGATTTTGCAGTTGTTTTTTTTTAGATTCACAGCCAACCGCTTTTGGATTTAAATCTATATATTTCCTTTTGCTTTCCAACCACATCTATAGAATCCAGTTTTCACTGACATTAATGCAAGTTTGTGGGTAGAGAGTAGAGAGATTCATACATTTTCTGTGTGTGAAAAGAAAAATAGACCAAAAAACAACGTCTATGAATATAATTTGAACGAGAAACGCAAATTATACGCCCTGTGTTTACCAGCTGTGGGCGACGTGTTTTTCATAGTGCAATGATGTAAATATATAAGGTTTAGTATGAAATTTTGTAGACGAGTTCTGCTCAAAAGTATCGGAGTTGTTACTGTGATAACGAGGCTAAGGTATGCAAAATGAAACCACTTGGTACAGACAGACCTTGACCTATGTCGCGCATGGACATTAAGTTATATTATTCTTGATTGCTTACATTGTTTATAGCGTTGCTTGAAAGGAGAGTGTGTAGAGTGTGGTCGCCTCGCCTCACGATAAAGATTCCATCAGTTACCATGTCTTATGTAACAGTTTTGACCAAGCAAAAAAGGACTATTTCCAGAATCGCCATATTCCCCATATCTCACCCCTTGTGATTTTACCTTTTCAAAAATTAAATTCCATTTGAAAGTAACATTTCAGACGTCGAAGAAATCCAAGATAATGTGACGTGGAAGCAGCTCTCTATTTGAAAAAAAGGAGTTCCAGGAATTTTTCCATAAATGGAAACGATATAAAGTGAGTGAATGAGGAAGTTGACTATTTCGAAGGAGATTAGATGATGAATTGATATGTGTTGTAGTTTTATTTTTATAGCATGAATCCTGATAGTTTTTGATCAGTCCTTGTATATTCTTCTTGTATATTTTTTCTTTAAACTTTGATATATTTATTCTATATGAATATCGCTTAACAAGCTCATATATATGATACATTACTAAACGTAAATTACATACTTTGTCATTATCTAATTGCTACAATATATCAAATACTTGTCTTTTTCTTATATTTCCCTATTCTTGACCTGAGAAACATTTGAATGAAATAGTTAGGTATTTGATGTGCTGCTTTCCTCTGTCATTATTGCATTCAAGTGAGTGTTAAATTTTCCAAACCGTCTTGTCTCATCATGTTCCATAAATATTTCAATTCTCTGTCTTGCTGAGGCTATGTCCTTTTTGTTTCGATTTCATCTTTGTTCATGTGTTCAGTCCATACTACTCTTACTCTCCCTCTGTAGAACTATATTTCTGTTTCCTCAAATCTCTTCTTTTCTGCGATGAGACACTCCAGCAGTAAACAACCATATTGGAGATACCACATAATATTCCAGGTCCGGTTGTTGTTTCCAATGAAAATTTTATGTTCCTTAATACATTACTTAGCGTTTGGAAGGCATCTTTGAATATTGTTATGGTCCAAGGTTAGGATCATGGAAGAACAACACGAAACACAACAGTAGAAATAACAAAGAATATATTACAAAAGAAATAATACAAGGAAGTGAAAGGGTTAGTAAAATTGTCCGACTGGGTTGGCGTGACTGTTATCAGCTCGACTCGATTCGGTATCTAGCCACCCCCCCACGAGGATTGAATGTGGCACAAGGCCGAGTTTAACGTGGGTTTCCCGTAGGCTCGGCCAAAAAATACCGGTAGAACCCGTATAAACGGGATCGGATTGGTCAGCCTCCCCGGACGAGGCTCCGCCGAAGGGCAGAGTCTCGTCCGGCTTCCTCTCTGTTCAGAGGCAGAGTTCGACCGTTAAGCCGAGAAGCTCGGCTCGATTCACTACTGTCCCAATACCAAATCCGTACTAATACTGTCCTAATACTGTCCGTCACTCTTGAGAGGCGTAGTATATATATATATATATATATATATATATATATATATCCTTCGGACAAGTTCATTCTGTCGGTCTAGGTAGGCACCATGAGAGATATTCTAATGCATCTTCGGATATCGGTTCCTCATTTTCCCTCATCTGTTAAATCTCCTATTAATCGCTTTCTATTGTTGACAGCCATACATTTTGTCTTCTTAAATATAGACGTTGGTTCTTACTTTTCCTTTACTACCTTCTGGAGGAGTTCCTGTAGTTACTTTTCTGTATCTGTTGTTAACACTGTGCCATCTGCATAACTAATATTGTTAAGATTGTGGCCACCAACAATGGATACTTGCAGGACGTCTAATTCTCTCAGGATTGCTTCATTGGAAATGTTAAATAAGTCGGGTAAGAAGACACACTCTTGTTTGAAACCCCTTTCTGTTTTCTGTTTATTTACTGAAGTCATTTTCTATCTTTAAGCTTGGAGATTTCTCCCACTATAAGTTATGTATTTTTCCAATATTCTTCTCAAATAAATCAAGCTTGCCTAGCAGTTCGGTGAGTTGTTTCTGACGTAGATTGTCAAACGCTCAATTTATTAAAAAAAAGAAGAAAAGTTTGTTGATAAGCATTGATTTATGAACCAGTATACTTACTCAAATGATTTAGTATACTTTTTAACAGGGTGAGGGATTTCGTACCATCGAAGATTTTATTTATTCTGTCCGAACTCATACTTTTATTCCAGCTGTGGATTTATTA